GCTGCTGAACACCAGCAGCTCTTCAGAGTGCAGGAAGGAGAGGAGGGGGGCTGCCCAGGCGCTGGCAAAAAGCCCGGAGCATGGGCCATTGCCTGGCAGGAATGCAGATGAGATGTAATGGAGTTTGAAAGCGTAGGGCACTCTCTGGGATGCCGGTCCTGTGGGGGAGGGAAAGGCACCCTGTGAGACCTGGAAACTGGAGCAAACAAAACCTGTAGCCCCAGCCCTGCACCTTCATGCCTCCTCCTGAATAAGGTCCTGCAGAAATTTGGGGAAAACAAGGAGAATAGAGCAGCTCTGCTCAGGAGTTCAGGGTTCAGGGGCATAGAGGAGGCTCCTAGAGTACAGATACCTTCTTTGGTCTGCCAAGTGTGCTGATGGCCTGGAGCAGGTGGTTAGTTCCTGCTCTGAATGTTCCTCTTGGCCCTGGTTTTCCAGCCCTTTGCTCCACATGTACAAGACCTATTGTGTCCCTTGGACTGTGTTCCCTCTCTGATGTGGGCTTCCAGTGGCTTCCCTCTTGCATGAAGTCTAGACTGACTCAAACTCAGATTTTGTCTGACAATTTCCTGGAGGTGGAAATAACACCACTTCTGGGGAGTGTCACAGATTTGATTTGATTTGATTCCAGCAAAATAAAAGAGGCTGCAGGGGATGCCACTGCTCACGTGGCTTGGCTTGAGGAGATCAGCAAGGAGCCTGTTCCAGTGTCTGTGTCTGGCTGTGTTGCTCTGTGGACTGATGGAGCCAGCACTGCTCAGTGAACCTGTGATTGGGCACAGCAGTCCTTGGTAGGTGAGACCTTGCTTACGTTGCAGGACTACTGTCAGAGCAAGAGAGGAGTGCTCCGTTGTCATCCCTGTGGTATTCCCAGTTTCATGCGCTGCAATTAAACCACCTGCCAAATAATGATGTGGCAAATCTGGGTGGTGTGGCCTCCTCTGATCTGCTCCTTAAAGCTGGGAACATGAGCTGGACTGGAAAGCATCTGCTCTGTGCAACTTTGGTCATGGTAATCATTTATGACTGTTAGTAGATTTGAAATTTGCAGTTAAAACGTTTCCTACCCAGACATACCAATGATAGTGCCAGTTCCTCCTGTTCTCCCTGGGTTCTTCTGAAAAGAGCAAGGGCAGCATGGCTGCTCTCCTTTGGAGCAGGGATGAATCAGCAGAGGGTGAATAGCAGGAGGCTGGTACTGCTGTATTTTCTCTGCAGATGTAAACTACGTGAACACATTCATCACATCCTGAGAATGCACTCCGGATTTGCTTTTGTGCCTCTTGTTATTACGGGCTGATTGCGCTTGAAAGGTAGAAATGAACAATTTCTGACCAAGCCTGTCTTGTGGAGTCAGCAATTCCCAGGTGCCAGTGGGGTCTTTAGGGGGCTGTCCTGGTCTTCACAGGTGTCAGCCTGGCACAGCCAATGCAGAGTTTAGGAAGCAAACATCCTCTCCAGGTGTTATTCCCTGTCTTGGCAAAGCTGGCAGATTTGTGGCACAGATGCTGCCAGAACTCTTGTCTGAAGCCGTGTCTCAGCTGAGGTGTGACTTGTGCCACCAAGGAAAAAGTGCCACCTGGATTGGAATGCTAGCCAGGTGGCAGGTGGCACAATTTTCCCTCGCTGTCTGAGGGAAGTGAGGCTTTTTCTTTTATTTGCAGAAGGACCACGCTTTAAGTGGGGCTGTGCTGCAGCTCAAGGAGGGTTTCCTTGAGCTCATCATCCTGTGAAGTGTGGAGAGATGTAAACTGCTGAGCCTCCTCTGCAGCTGGTATTTCCAAGGTGCTTGCAGGGGTGTTGCATGCAAACCTCTCTGGACAGCCTCTAAAATGCCAGTGACAGGGTTGCCATGATTGTATCATGAGTCTTGCATTGGCTGCATGTTTTCCGTGAAGTCAGTTCCTGGAATCACACAATTAGGTAGGAACGTGTTCTTTAATTTTCAAGGAAGAAAGTCCATTTCAGGATCTCCCTGTAGCCCTGAACCTTCACAACTGAAGTGAGGAGGTCCTGGGTGTCTGCTCGCCTGGCCTTTCTGAACGTTTTATAGACAGATTCACGCTTTTAAAAATGGACAATAAAAACCTTTCTCAATTTTCTGAAATGTAGTCTTTTCCATCACTCAAGGGCTGAACACATAAAATCCAACCACTCTTTCCTTGTCTCCTCTCTAACCTAGCACAGAGGTGATCTGAGTAGCTTTGTGTCTGAAAATGACCCATTTTGGGTGCAGGAAACAAGTTCTGCAGGGCTTAAATGATTTTGGCGAGATTGTGGCTGCCTTTGAGGTTCTCAGCCTGTTGATGTTGCCCACGCCTCACTGACTTCAAGGAGATTCCTGCTGGGTGTTAGTCTGGGAAAGGAGATTTCAGAACTGACGAGCTTAATGAACTAAAGCCACTGATCAGCTGCTGCACAGAGATTGTGCAGCACAGGAATCTCAGTGGTCATCCTTAGCCCATGCCTTGCTGCGGAGTGAAGCACAGCTCTCCCCAAAGTTAAGGATGCCGAGGTAGGTGCTGAAGGCTTTGCTGTGAAAACCCATCAGGTTCCGAAATGTGCCATGGGAGCCTAAAGCTGAGCTTTAGGGCTGGCTGGGGCTCAGCAGCTGGGCATCCAGAGTCAACCAGCACCTGTGTCCTGGTTTTGCTACCTGCAGGTTCCATTGGCAACCAGAGAGGACAAAAAGGCAGAGAATGCTGGGAGGGTGTTTCTTAAAACTCCCCAGACTTCTACTGCTTCTTGATTGCTATCATTTCATCCTAGTTGCTTTCAAATCCAACGTAAAAAGGGTTGTTTCAAGGCCTCTGCTTCATCTTTGGCTTCCCATGCCCTGTCTCAGGGTGTTCTGCATTGAAATGATATCTTTTCCCAGTCTGAGGTGGAAGAAAAGCCTCATCTCATGCTTTGCAGCAGCATTCAAAGGGAAAAAAGGATTTTTGGGCAAGTCTGTGCCTGGAAGACTCCACACCCTGCTGCTGAAGGAGGCTATTACCTGGGGAGCCTTGGGGATGGGACGTGCCAGCTGGGCAGTAGAGTCGTCGGTAGCACTCCGGCTGTTCCTGGGGCAGCAGGAAACAGGAGCATCCCCACCCCAGGGCTCCGGGGGATGAGCAATGGCATGGCTCACCTCCAAAAGAGCCAGAGCCCCGGGGTGTGGGATCTTACCCCTCTGCCTTGGTGTTAGGTGCTGGTTTTGCATCTAAAAAAGGATTCAAGGAATTTGGGCTGGCTGGGAGGAAAGGGTGAGCTGGATGGGGAAGATGCTGGCAATTACGCTGGTGCTGAGCGCCTCTCCTTTGCCTTGATAACCTAATCAAGCCGATGAGCCCTTAAAATAAGGCTTTAACCTAGGGTGAGATAACAGTGGTGATCTCCCTGAACATGGGGATTTTTGTGTTTTAATCACCAGCTGGATGAGGACAAGTCCTGGCAAAGTCTCTGTCAGTAGTGAGGGACCATCTTTCAGAGCAGCCCTGCACAGGCTAGGCTGTGTCTCTCTCCCTCCTGGTTAGACAACGAGGCGTGATAATCCCTTAAGGACTTAATTATAGCTGACAGGGCTGGAGCAGACCATCTTCAGCCCCATTCCCATCAGCCTGGACCCACCGAAGATGGGTGGGAGCAATCCCATGGGTTGTGTACACCATGGTCCAGCCCCCCAGGCCAGGCCGTGTCAGGGAGTTTTGTTGTTTCCCGGAGTTTGCCCTATGTGGAGCCCCTGCCCTCCACTGCCCCGGCGAGCCTGGGCTCTGGCAGGCTTGTTTTTCTAGCATGGCGAGTCAGCCTAAAATGCCTAAGGTGGGGCCCAGCATGGATAATGGCCTTCCTGGGGACAGAGCCAGCAACAGGCCCTCAGCAGCCATGGGCACCCCCAGCGCCAGAGGTTCCCTGGCCTCAGGGGCTGGGGAGGGAGCAGAGGGCTGGATTTTGGGGCTGTGTCCATCCTGGCAGTGCCTGGCTCTGCCCCGGGGCACTGAGCAACGGGCACCTTCCGTCTGGGAGCCGGTGACGCGTGTGCGTGCGTGAGTAAAGGCACGGCTGGGCCTGGCCGGGAGGATGGAATCACAGAATCCTGGAATGGTCTGGGTTGGAAAGGACCTTAAAGAACGTCCAGTTCCATCATCCTGCCGACCCTTCCACTAGACCAGGTTGCTCCAAGTTCTGTCCAGCCTGGCCCTGAACATTTCCAGGAATGGGGCATCCACAACTTTCTGCTCAACCTGTGCCAGGGCCTCACTGCCCTCACAGGGAGGATTTTTTTGCTAATATCTAATCTAACTCTGAGTTTGAAGACATTCCATTGAAGGGGCCACCGCGGGTGGAAGGCAGCTTTTTTTTAGATGTAGAGCTGGATTTTGTGGGTGTCACTGGATAGATATCCCTGCTGGGCATCCCTGGCAGGGTTGGGGAGAGGGGAGGGATCTCTGCAGGGTCCCCAATCCGCAGGGTGTCCAGTGATGCTGGCTGATGTCAGGGCATCTGACCTCGGGGTGCCCATGACGGTGACGTGTTTTGGGGCTGAACCAGCTGCCTTTTGCCATTGCAGAATCACAGGTTCATTTAGGTTAGAAAAGACTTAAATCATCAAGTCCAGCCTGTGACCCAACACCACCCTGTCAAACAGACCACGGCACTCAGTGCCACGTCCGCTCTTTCCTTAAACACCTCCAGGGACGATGGACTCCACCACCTCCCTGGGCAGTCCTCACTTTATCAGAATCGTACAATTTGATGCCATTTGTCCCCTCACGGAAGAGGACAGCAGCAAAGGGGGGGAGGAGGAGGAGGGGAGTACTGGGGCCCTCCCCGAGACAGGGGAGCGCTGTGAGGGGGCTGGAGGCCTGCTGTGGGCCCGCCGCCGGTGAGTGCTGTGGCCGGGTGCTGTGGGTGGGTGTTCGTGCCCGCTCCCGGTGCGAGGCTCCCCGCCTTGTCCCCGCCCCGGCCCCGCCCCAGGGGCGGTGCTGCGGGCGGCTCCGGGCGCTAAAGGCGGCTCCGGGCGGTGCCGCCCGGCCTGGCGGGCGATGTGGCGGCGGCGGGCGCGGGCCGGGGGCCGCGGGGGCCCGGCGGCTCTCCCGCCGCTCCTGCTGCTTTTCCTGCTGCTCCGAGTGCCCGCGGTGCGGCCCGGCCGCCTCTACTCGGCCTCTGACCCCCTGGAGCTGCTGGGGCCGGGGGCGGAGGGGCGGCTGCTGGGCTCCAGCAGCGCCTGGGCCGTCGAGTTCTTCGCCTCCTGGTGCGGGCACTGCATCCACTTCGCGCCCACATGGCGGGCCCTGGCCCACGACATCCGCGGTGAGTCCCCAGCCCCGCTGGCTCCCCCTTCTCCTCATCCCCGCCTGGCCGCCCCATCGGCTTCCCCGATCCCTCCCTGTGGCCTTGACCTTGTTAACCCGCACCCCTTATCCCTGTCTCCGTCCTCTTCCGTCAGCACCCAGTGGCTCTGCCCCTGCGCTCTCAGATTCCCACTGCATCTCTGTCTGTTCACCCCTAAATCCTCCTTGCTGTGCCCCTGCGCAGGGGGGTCCCGCTTCCCCCAAGACCGGGAGCATCCTGCAGTCCCTCCTGCGTCCTTTCCCCGTCGTCCTCCTCCTCTCCGCCCGCACTCTTAAATCCACCCCTGCATCCCGGGCTCTGCATCCTCGTCCTCGTGAGCATCCCTTCATCCTCTCTGTGTCCTTCCCACCGCCATCCCTCAATCCGCTCTGCCCTTCCCTCTATCAGCTCCCCAAACCCCCCTGCTGCCCATCTCCAGCCTCCCTGGAACTTCAGCCTGGTGGGAAGGCCCAGCTCCCTCCCGGTGTCCAGGTTTTCTCCCCCGATATCCAGGCCTGGCTTAGCAGCATCCCTGGACCTCCTTTGGCAGGGAGAAGCTCAGGCTGAGCCCGCCCCAGGCATGGGGGGGTCCCGCTGCCCCCGAGACTTTCCCTCAGCCCCGCTCCTCCCGGTGCCTGCAGGGACAGGGATGGCAGGTTGCTGGGCACCGATCCCAGCTGGTTTGTTCCCGGCTTTGACCTTGATGCCTGGCCTGGCCGGTGCCAGCCCTGCCTGGGGACCCGCACACCCCGCCGCTGGGCCCCTCGTCCTGCCGGGACTCATCGTGCCTTCCCCGGCATCCCGGGGTGCTTCTCCTCCCTGTTATTGCCCTAATTGATACAGCGCGGTGGCTGCCGCATGAGTCAGGCGGGCATTCCGTCCCTCCGAGGGGATGCCGTCCCTCCCTGGGGATGCCGTCAGAGCTCCCCAACGGGCAGGATGTGAGGAATGGGGTGCGTGCCCGGGCCCCGCGGGGTAATGCCGGCTCTCCTGGCCCCTCTCCAAAAGAGGGCTCCCCCAGGGCTCCCCGCTCCAGAGGCCGGGCTGTGGATGGTGTGCCCATGGAGGCAGGGCAGGGAAGCCGCCCCCCGTGCTGCTCAGCATCCTCGCTGCCATTCCCACGGCTGGATTTTCGTAGGAGTGGGCTGGACGGGGAGGATGCTGGGGTGACCTGCGGGCACCACGTGCAGATGAGTGCAGAAACGTGCCTGGCTCCCTGCAGCAGGGCTCGTCACCAGTCCTCTTGTGCCACGAGTGCCAGGGCAGTGGGAAGGAGCTCACCTGTCCTGTCACCTGAGACGGGGACAGTGTGTCCCTGCCTCCAGCATTCTCCTGCCTGGGGCAGCATGGGCTCCATCTGCATGCCATGTCCCTCCTTGTCCTACTCTAAGGATATGCAGGACATTCTCCAGCTTGTGTCCTTTACACTAAAAAGAAGCCATTTCAGAGCTTTATTCTCCATTTCGCTGCTGCTGCTTAAAATGCCTCTATGCCACCTTTTGTCCATCTGTTTTACCCCAGGGGCTTGCTGGTCTTCACTGGGGAGTCAGAAATGGGGAGTGGATGCTCAGAACCGGGGCAGGCTCTGCTGCAGTGCCCTGGCCTGGCTGCTGGTTTTGGGTTATTCCCTCTTGGTTATCAGCTGTCCCCTTGGTCTGGGGTGAGACAAGCTGGAGCCAGTGTTCCTTGCTCTTCCTGAGCTGTGGCTAGCAATCTCTCTCCTTCTCCTGGTGTCCTCTTCCCAGGAGCTGGGGCAGAGGCTGGACAAGCAGAACCAGCCAGGCAGGCAGTGTCAGGCAGAGCTGTCTGCTCCTTCAGTGGCAGAGCAGGGCGTGCAAAGCCGGCTCCCGCCTCGCACAGTTTTCCTTGTGTTCCTGCTGCCTGGAAAGTAGGGCACCATGCACCAGTACAGACCACAGCCCTGGGTGTTTGCGCTTGGAAACCATCGGTCGCTGTCCTGCAAGGGGCAAGCAGTGATTTTGTGACAGGAGGATCTCTGCTGCTGGCACAACAGGAGATCCCTCCTGTCTCCGCAAGCACTCCTGGGGAGGAGGGCGGTTTTTGGGGCCGTGGGGATGCTGAGCTGTGCTGACCTCATCCTCTGTTCCCACAGAGTGGAGGCCTGCAGTGATCCTGGCAGCCATCGACTGTGCTGACGAGGAAAACCAGCAAGTGTGCTCCGATTTCGGGATAACCGGCTTCCCCACCATGAAGGTGAGACTGCGTGTGCGGGGTACTTGCTGGGTTTCACTGTGCTTTGCCTTTTGGCCAATCCCTCTCTTGCCCAATCAGATTGACAGGGGTATTGCACCAAAATACTCCCCTTGGGGCTTTGCAGGCTGAAGCTGTTTCACCCTTCCCCAAAACAGTGCTGTGTCCTGGCTGCAGCCGGTACAACTGCTGGGCGATGGAGTAACAAGGAAGGGGGGAAAACCAAAATTATGTTTTGTGGCGAAACACAGGGGCTGGATCTCTGCTAGGATGAGGGAGAGTCTGAATCCTGAGTTGGAAACACTTAAGAAAGGCCGTTTGAGAGCAGAGAGAGGTTGCAGGCACAGGTTTTGGAGGAGGGCAAGGGGATGCTGCGGGAGGTTTGCAACTCCTGGGAGCCTCCTGTGGTGGCTGGCAAGGAGCCACCCCTCCTCCTCCTCCTGGGCCTGTGCCCAGCCCTTTAGCTGTGTCAACACACTGTTCTGCAGAGCTTCCCGCTGCAAACAGAGCCTTGCTCCAACACAAGCAGTGAAGCCAAAGCACTCCAGGTGCCACAGTCAGCAGTTAAAACCAGGATTGCCTTGAGGTGGAATGGGTAGGGATGAGGGTTTTATCAGACGTGCCCTCAGTCCCAGCTTACAGGCTCTGCTCCAGGTGAGGTCAAAGTTGGGGTTTTCCAAGCAGGTTGGCTTGGCCCCAGCCCTGCCCTTGGGTCTCACCAGGTGCCCACTGCCCTGGGACTCTGATGGAAACATTTCCTGGGGCAGGGAGATGTTGCTGTGTTGTGTGGCTGATGTGGCCATACCAAAACGCCACTTGCTTCACATCCCATGTCCCTGCTGAGCACCTTTTGCAAACAGCCCCAGCTCCCAGCCCAGCCTGCAAAGCAAACACCTGGCTGATGCAACCTGGTGTTGCTGCTCTGGCTCTGCCCTGGCTACTGGAGACACTGTGGGAGGCCGGGAGTGGGGAAACCCCCTTTTTCCTGCTGTGTCAGAGCTCTGGAGCAGGGAGATGGATTTGCAGGACTGGGGAAGTTCCAGCTGCCTCCCTGGAACCCCTGAAGACACCTGCTCCACTGTCTGCCAGTGCTCAGCCCCTGGCTGGACATGGCTCCCAGCCCATACCTGCGTCCCTCCCCTCTGGGGATGCCCCAAAAGATGGGGACATGGCTGGGAGCTCCCTCTGTGCTCACTGATGTCAGTTGGTATGCTGCACTGTTGTGGGGAAACTGAGGCAGAGCTGATCTACAGGGAGCCCCAGCCTGCTGGGTTGCACTGCCTCCTGTCCCACTCCAAACACTCATGCCAGTTTCCCCTTGTGGTTTTTTTCCCCTTTCAGTTCTTCAGAGCTTTTAGCAAGAAGCCAGAGGATGGGATAAGGATTACCAGTGAGTATCCAGAGCTGGGGGGCAGCTTCAAGCAGCTTCCCTTGACTCAACCCCTGGGATTGGCTTCCCCAGGACTGACCCCTCGGTGTCCTGTCCCCCTGCAGATCCCAGTGCCACTGTCGAGGAGCTGCGCCATGCCATCATCACCAACCTTGAGAAGAGCCAGGATGCCTGGCCGCCTGCCTGTCCTCCGCTGGAGCCAGCAAGGTAGGGGCAGCAGGAGGCCAGGATGGCCTCTGTCCCATGGGGAGCAGGTTTCTGGGGAAATCCTGATCCCAGAGTGAGCAAGGAGCAGCTAATGCATCACCCATGTGCCAGGGGGACACAGATGACCTGGCCAGGGTAGAGATGTTTCCATGCCCAGATGAGGATGGGCCATATTATCACATCTCCTAATAAACCTGCTCATCAGCCTTACTTAGAACAAACAACTCCTGGGCCCCAAATCCTTTGGGGCATAGCAGTGTCATGCCATGCTGAGTGAGGCTGAGTTAGAAGCTTTCTCCTGTCCTGAAAGGTATTCTTGATTCTGTACAATTTTCTCGGTATTTGAGTTGTCCTTGCTGGATGCAAGCAGTTGCTGCATTGTCATGAGAAGAAGCCTTTGGATTTTCCAAAGCAATGGTTGAGCCAGGTACTCTGGTGCTTCTGTGTCTTAACCAAAAAAAAACCCAAGCCCTGGTTCAAATTCTTTGCTGCTTTTTCCCCTGGGCATACATGCAGCTCCCTCCTGCCCTGCCCTGCCTGTGCTTTGTTTTTAACCTCCTTGGCTAAGCCCAGTGGGTTTCCTCAAAGCCTGTGAACCAGAGCATAAAACTAGGCTGGAAACTTCAGCAGGAGGAATTGCCTGCTCAGTGGGGCTGATCCTGCACCAGCATTCCCTGCCAAATCCCAGCGGTCAAGGATCAAACCCCTTGTGAGGGGGAGGGCAGAGCATCCTGCTGATGCCGAGGCACCTGCTGCTGTCCTCCTGTCTCTTGCAGCGCCGAGGAGGTTCGCACCTTCTTCCAGAGGAACAAGGACCAGTACTTGGCACTCATCTTTGAGAAGAGCAACTCCTTTGTGGGCAGAGAGGTGGGCACTGCTGCCTTTATCCCCCATTTCTCTTGGAGCCTGTATCCCTGGTGCCTGACAACTCCTGGGTGCCTTTGGCCTGATAACTCTGGGAAGCCTCCCTGCTTAGCTTAGCCAGTGCCAAACATTACACAGGGCACTGAACAGCTCTGCTACCTCCCTGATGGGGCTGGGGAATCCCTCTGCACCCCCCATCTGACCGTGGGGTTTGCAGGTGACCCTGGACATGCTGCAGTATGAGAACATCGCAGTGAGGAGGGTGCTGAGCAGCGAGGAGGAGCTCGTGGAGAAGTTCGGCGTCACCTCCTTCCCCTCTGGATACCTGCTCCTCCGCAATGGCTCCTTCTCCCGCCTGCCTGTGTGAGTGTGGGACACAGCGGGGTGGCTCTGGGGATGCTGGTGGGGTGTCAGCCTTGTGCCCCATCTCTGTGCTCCTTTGTACTTGTGGGAAGGTGCATTAGGAAGGAGACAGTGGCTGGGCAGGGGAGGCTGGTGGGAGGTTGCTGGTGGGCATTGAGCTACACTGCCAGCCCTGGATGGAGCTGGAAGAAGGGAAAATCCTTGTGACTGAGCCATTCCCTTCCCACACCTGCCCAGAGGTGACATGATATGACTACCTGGGGCTCAGCTCCACTCCAGGATGCAGGTGGAGACTATGGAGCACCCCACACTCCCTCCCCAGGCTGAACTACCCGCTTGGCTAAGCCTTCATTTCCTTTGCTTCCTTCCTTGGGGTCAGGGTTTGGGAGGGAAGAGGCACTTAGGGCTTCTCCTTCCTGGCAGGCACGTGGAGGCGCGCTCCTTCTACACCTACTACCTGCGCACGCTCATGGGCATCACCCGCGGCTCCTACAAGCTGAACGCCACGGCCAGCACCTTCAACGAGACCGACGGCGTGTCACATCCTCTGCGAGCCGACCGGTCAGACCCCTCACCCTGCTGGGCAACTAGGAAAACTGGGGAGGCCAAGGGCTGGGACCTGGGAGGACCCTCGGGGTGAGGATTAAGGGTCTGACGGAGCCTTGTGTTGTGCTGCCCTCCCCAGCTCCAAGCTGTACATGGCCGACCTGGAGTCCACGCTGCACTACTCGCTGCGGGTGGAGGCTGTCCGTGCCTCCTCGCTGTCGGGAGCACAGCTGGCTGCCTTCAAGTGCTACGTGGCCACGCTGGTGAAGGTGAGGAGCTCTGTCAGGAGAGGACTGTGCCTCCCTTTGTTTGTTTATGAAGTGCAAACGCACACTGTGAGCCACCATGTCCCAGTACTCGAAGGCAGTGAAGCGTGGCAGTCTCAGGTGTGGGCCCTGTGTCCTGGTTGCTGAGTGTATCCCCTGGCTGCTGCCAGGCAGTCCCCATCCATGTGGAACTCCAAAGTCAGCCCAGAGTCCCAGTGGGAGCTAAGAGGGAGTGCTGGACTGCTTTAAATGCTGGCTTTGGTGGCAGTGGGACCATCGCTTGGAGGAGGTATCGAGGCAGGAGGTCTTTTCAGAAGAGAGGCGGTCACCTGCTGGGGTGTCAGAGATAGTCACAGGGCTTTGTCACTCTGATCTGGATGCTCAACTCAGGGAGCCAGTCTCTGCAGGCTCCTTTGGTAATAGTCCAGGAGAGGAACTCCCACTCCGAGTCAGGCTCCAGACAAGCCTAATTTAAGGTCTCCTTTTTTCTTCTATGTTAGGCCTGGCACAGCTGAAGTGACTGAGAGCTTTGAGCCAGCACATGCAGGGCAGTTTAATTTCCTGCTGTGATGGAGTCCTGCTGCATTTGGCTGTTTCCTCCACTGGGCCTGCAGGAGCCCTGTCTCCATCCCAGTCCTTGTCACAGTCCAGGCTACTTGGCAGACTGGGGCCATGAGCTCCTTCTTTGCTCCCTCCTTTGTCACCAAGGGTCTCACGCTCAGTTTGGACCTTGCATAGCCCTCACTGATGTGCAAGACACCCCCTGCTCCCACCCCCATCTGCTCTCCCCCAGGAAAGAGCTCCAGACACTTGCCTTAAGTCCTCAGACCTTCATGTGGCTCCTCTGCCTGCCTCCAACCATTGCCCTCATTCTTTCTCCCTTCAATGTGAACTTCAGAGAAAGGGAAATAAATCCCTGTGGCACCAGCTCCCTGCTCATGGGGACAACTGTGCTGGGGTGGTGGGCAGCAGCAATGGTTTTTATTTGCTCCATTTTTAATTCTTCCTGCAAACCTTCCCCTCGATGAGCTGTAGCAGTGGGTGGTGGGTGCTGCTGCTTCCCCGGGGACGCTGAGCCAGCACTGCCATTGCCCTGCTCATCCACAGGACGGAGCAGCATCCCCAGGATTGCCAGCCCGGGGCTCAGCCTGGGGGAGCTCAGCCAGCAGGTCCCAGCCTTAACTCTTGCATTCCCAAGAGGTATTAAAGGAAGGGAGAGGGGGGGAAAGTCCTAACGTGGAAAAAAGTGGCGGCAAGGAATCACACAGCAAAGCCTTCTGTCCGAGGAGTTGGGGGACACTGTTTGCAGCACAACTGATACATTCCCCTGCAAATTTGGGTCTTTGCATGTGGCTCACCATGGGCCTGGGAGGAAGAACAACTCAGACTCAGCAAAATCCTTCCTTTCGCTTCTCCATCACTTCTCCTGTGTGCTGGTGTTTCCTCCTCCCCACAGGTCGGTCCCTCTGTCTGTGTGTCTGTCTGTTGGTGGCACAGGCTGCCAGGCTGCTCCTCTCCCAGGAGTGGTTTTCAAGTGCAGCTGCTAATCGGCTTTGCCAGACTTATGGACAGAGTGGCTTTTTGCCTCCCTCAGTTGGGGCTGGGGTTTGAAGCCTGAGCATACACACAAGGGACTTGTCACCCGGTGGGGGGTGACAAGCTGCAACCCCCAGCCCCTCAGAGATGGGCACCAAAACCCTGCCAGGCCACGCTGCTCTCCAGCAGAGAGGATGCTGGTGCTGCCTGGTGCCTGTGCTGGTGAGCCAGGGGTGCCTGTGGGCTGCTCTGTTGCTCCCAACATGGAATCTGTGTTTTCTCACCCCTCTCCCTGCTCTGCAGTACTTCCCAGGGCGCCCCTGCGTGCAGACCTACCTGCAGACCCTGGATGCCTGGCTGAGGAACTGGACAGAGCCCGAGCTGCCCCGCACAGTTTTGAAGGAGGCCATGAAGAATAACAGAGATGTAAGATGCCCATGGAGACCCCTAACCCCTGCTCTCCTTACCCCTGCCCCTTTCCCCCCCAGCTAGCACTGCCTGTCAGCCCCATCATGCTGTGTCCATCTGTCCACCAGGCCTCCCACCCCTCCGTGCTCCCCACCAACGTGACCTGGGTGGGCTGCCAGGGCAGTGAACGCCACTTCCGTGGTTACCCCTGTGGGCTCTGGACCATCTTCCATCTGCTGACTGTCCAGGCTGCCCAGAATGGCCCTGACAAAGGTACTGGTGTCCCTGGGGGTGTCAGGGGCTCAGGGAGGGAGTGTCTAGCTGAGCTCTGGCCCGGGTAGGGATGCTGCATGTGGACAAAGGCTTGTTTCTTCCCCCTTCTTCATCTCATCCAGGAGTAGTTTCCATGGGGTAGAGGAGACACAGAGCTGGGGTGTGGGGTTGCTAGCTCAGCTGTGGGACTGTGGTGGTGTCACTGGGGGGTCCAGACTCACCCCTGTGCTCTGCCTCCCCCAGAGTTACCCCTGGAGGTGCTGAGCACCATGCGCTGCTACGTCCGGCACTTCTTCGGCTGCCAGGAGTGCGCTGAGCACTTTGAGGCCATGGCAGCCAAGTCCATGGACAAGGTGGCAAGCAGGGAGGAGGCCATCCTCTGGCTCTGGTCCCACCACAACGAGGTCAACGCTCGCCTGGCAGGTAAGGGGGAGAAAAGGGGAGGTGAGGTGGAGGAGCATCACTCCTCCTGGATGGATCTGGCAGCTGGCTGCAGGCTGTAGCAGTGGGGACATCCTGTTGTCATTGTCCCCCATCCCAGGGGACAGCAGCTGGTCACACAGCATCAGACTGCCCCAGAGATACAGTTGGATCTTAGATGCTCCTTACAAGGAGCTTCCCAAAGCTGCTGTTTGCCCTCAGAGAACCCCTCCTCCCGAGGTGGCTCATCCAAATGTCCCCATCCGCAGCTGCTGGATTCCCCAGGGTGTTTATACAGGGGGAGGGAGCATCACGTGTCCCCTCTAACCCCCCCACTCGGTGGCTCCGGTCCCTGCAGGAGGTGACACGGAGGACCCCAAGTTCCCCAAGCTGCAGTGGCCTCCGCCAGACTTGTGTCCCCAGTGCCACAAGGAGGAGCGGGGGGTCCATGCCTGGGAGGAGCCGGCCGTGGTCACGTTCCTCAAGGCACACTTCTCCCCGGCCAACATCTACATGGACTTCGCCGAGCCCGACCCCATCCCCGCGGCCAGGGAAGGGCTGGGAGCCAGGCTGGGCACGGAGGGCCCGCGAGAGGAGAGGGGGAGAGGAGAAGAGGAGGAAAAGGAGCCAGAGGGAGAGGCGAGAATCCCGGGGCGCCCGGGCTCCCCAGAGCCGCGGCGCCCCAGCATCGTGCGGCTGAACCCCAAATTGCGGGAGGGGGGCGAGGACATCGTGGACCTGGATTCCTTCAGCGAGCAGCACTTCAAGAGCCAGGCGCTGCGAGCGGCCGCGGGCCGGCGTCGGCGCATCAGCAAGCGGGACACCATGGCCCTGCCCCGCGATGGCCCGGCGGGCAGGGAGCGCCGGCGGGCCCCCGGCGTCCTGCTCCGGGAGGAGGAGGATGTTGGGGAGGGCCTGCGGAGGAGCCCGTGGCTGCGGGTGCTTGGATTGGGCTTCTCCCGCCTGGACATCAGCCTCTGCGTGGCTCTCTACTTCCTCTCCTCCATGTGCCTCCTGGGCATGTACACCTTCTTCCGCCTCCGCACCCGCGCTCGGAAAGGCCGCCCCGGCTTCCCCATGGCCTGAGAAGGGTTGGGGGGCCTGGGAGTTTTTCCCGGGGCTGGGTGGGCTGCTAAGGCAGGACACCCCTGGGACAGCGTTTTGTCCCACAGCGGGCAGGGATCTGGCACATCCCCCCCCTCCCCCCGCCAGGGTAGGGGGGTTGAGGGCTGTTTTTGGGAGGAAGGAGGTGTCAGAGCATCCCCCTCTCGAGTCATAGTGCCATGTTTCTGGGTGTGTGGGAGCCGGGACATGAACGGTGGTTTGTGTTTTGGCACCCAGCTGCCCTCGGAAGCTCCCTGGCTCGGGGCTGGTTTCAAACTGGGAAGCCCAGTCCTGGGCTGGAGGGCAGCCCATTGGGATCCAACCACTAGTGGGGCCAGGAGTGTGGAGGTTTAGCCCCCCCCCCCTAAACAGCAGCCAGTGCTGGGTGGGGGCAGCACTCATGAGTTCAGATGCATTTTCTGTTCTCTCTCTTTGAGATGTGGCCCAGGGCCTCCCCACCTGTCTTTGTCCCTTCTCCATGCTCTTGTTCGTTCTCTGCTTGTCTTAGTGGAATAAATTATTTTTGCCGATGCCTGCCCTGCTGTTTTGGCTGGTCCCTGCCACGTGGGCATGCTGGACTACCACACCCCATTCCTGATGTCCCTGTTCCTGCCTCCACCCCACCCTGAGAAGAGCACTTAGTTTAAAAATCCTTTCAATATTTTTTTTATCACTATTGTATGTTTTCTCCTGCCTTTTGCTTGGGGATGATGTACCTTTGGGCAGCTGCCCCCCTGTACAGCTGGTACATCCCCAGGCCTGGGATGGCTCCTGGTTTCTCCTCAAGCAGGGGGAGGCAGAGGAAGTATTTGGGGGCCAGGAAGCTGCTGGAAAAAAAAGTTGGCACGAGCTGTGGAGCTTCAGTTCAGTGCTGACCATGCCCGTGGTCCGGAGCAGGGAGACACACGGCAGCATCCCTCGGGACCAGGACTTCCGTGGGTGTGGGCCCCCTGTGCCTGTCCCCGATTCTCGCTGCCCTTTTATCCTTGTTAGGAATCATTAAGGAAAATGGTTGTTTTCCAGAGCCAGGCCCGGGGCCATCTGCTCTCCCAGCGCTGTCTAAATCCCCCTGTAACAAATTCATTGGGATTACGCTGTCCTCCCCTAATCCTGGCCCATCCCCCCGCGTGGGGGATTTAAAAGGATTAGAGCCCGGCCGATAATAAACTTTATTAAGGGGGAGGGGGGGTGTCAATCCGATTTGGAGCCTTTTTCTTGATATCTTCACTTTGCCCAGGTGGGAGGCAAGGGCTGGGCGGGGAGGAGGGTGCTCAGCTCTGCTGCTGCTCTGGCTCCTCCAGCCCTTCCTCCCTTACCTGCCCGTGAAATAAATTGTCTCTCTCCGTCTTTCCTTTAACGTTTGTGCGTGGTCTTGCTTCTAGGCGTTGTGGGGCTGGCACCCCTGTCCCTCGGCCTTGGCCGTGTCCCGTAAGCCGGCGCTCAGCAGCCTCGTCCCAGCCCAAAGCGGGGCCGGGTCCCCCGAGCCGGGGGCCGGCCCTGCCCATCTCCGGGTGATGGATGGGGAAGGTCTCATCGCTGCAGCCCTGCTGCCTCCTTCTCCTTGATTTCCCTGGGGGATTCACCCCCAGCATCAATAACCCCGCCCCGTGCACCCCCTTCCTTCCCCGCCAGCTGCTCCTCTGTGCGGGACGGAGGGATTGCGATGTGGGGCTGCCCGCCATCACCTCAGCCCCAAAATATCTCGGTGGGGTGGGCAGGGGGTGCAGCAGGTGGAGGGAGAGGGGGATTAGGGCCGGGCAGGTGGGCGCTGCCGGAAGGGGGTTAGCGGGATGCCCAGATTAGCGTCCTTGACAGGCCCGCAGCCTAAAGCTGCTGTGCACCCAGGAAAAAGAGAGTCTAGTAAATAGACTTTCCGTAATCCTGTTTGGTGCAGTCCCAATCCTCCCGGCCCCGGCTCTGCCGGCCTGTGGCACCGGGGTGTCCCCCTCCAGGAGCTGGGGAGCCCCAGTGCAGGCACAAAGGGGCTGCTGCAGGGCTCGGAGTGTCCCCATCATTGTGTCCCCCTCTCGGGATGTCTTGGGGACTGGTCTCCCCTCAGCCTTGCACTGCGGGAGCATCAAACTGCTGTGGCCGCATTCACAGGTGGGACAGGCTGTCCTGGGGTCCCAGCCCGAGCCCCCGAGCTGCCCTCCCTGATGGGGTCACCCCTTCCCGGCACTGCCAGGAGCCCGGGGGTCCCTGGGGCTAATTACCCAAATGGCCTCAGGCTGGCGCGAGGCCGCCGCTATTCCCTAATACAATTTACCCTCAAGTGCAATTTAATTTTCCGCGAGGCCGGTGGCCAGCCCCCCGCACACCCAGCCACCTTCCCACCCCTTCAGCTTCTCGCTCCTTCCAGCCTTGCCCCTCTTCCCTTTCCCTCCTCGGCACAGGGAAGAACATTTCTCCGCCGGCATCCCCTCTCCACCCGCGTTCCGGCCATAAAATCACCGGGGGTTCGCTGAGCGCCGATTAATTTTCAATTACGATTAGCAACGCCCCTGCCTGCGAGGGGAGAGGCTTTCCCTGGCTGCTGGTGAGTACCCGGCTCTCGATGTGCTTGTCCTCACTCCAGGCCGGTCCTGGCAATAGGGATTGTCAGTGGGAGGGGGAATTTATTGGGATAATTCAGAGGTGGGGAGCGGGTGGGGCTCAGGGTGCTACGGCCGATGCTGCCCAGAGGGGAGGTGGCTTCATGCCAAAGGGTGGCTGTGGCAGCTTTGGACTTGCAAGGACGTCCCCACCTCGGTCTGGGGGAGCTGCTTTTGTCACACGAGGGGACTCTGGGAGCTGGGCTGACACCTGGCAAACTCGCTGCACGAGTGGCACAAAGCCTCAGCTCCCTGGCACCTCCAAACCCGTTCGGGGTTTGCTGACTGGGACAGAGCTGCACTCGCAGCCCCCAGACATGAGTCAGGAGTGGGTTTTCCTTATATTTCCTTATATTCCTTTACATTTCCCCCAATTCTGCCTTGAAACCCCCTTATTGCACCAGGGGACAATGCACTGATGTCCCCCTCGGTGACACAGTGTTCAAGCCAACCCTAATACCAGTGTGCCCAAGGCTGGGCCACACAAGGGGAGGCTGGGTCTGTATCTTGTCACAGGTTCTGGGATTTACCTGCATTTTATTAATGATTAATAGCAGGGAAGGTGTGGGAGCACCATCCCTGCTCGTCTGTGGGTTTTGCATCATCGCCTGGTGCTGCTCGTGTCTTCCTCTGGCTGCAGGGCCAGAGGGCTCCAGGCAATGCCAAGGAAGGAGCAGGGCATCTGCACGGGGACAGAGCCCCCCAAAAGAGCCCCAGAAGTGCAACCTGATGAAAATCGACATTCACCCTTCTGCAGGCTGCTCACCATCGAGCCTTAGCTCTGGTTTAGCTCTGGGAGGAGGAGAAAGGCTGGAGGTGGGCATTTCACACCCACCACACATAACCCCCCCTCTCTGGGCACCAGCAGGACACAGCAGCATTTTGAGTGGCACAGAGAGGATTTGCTGGGCAAGCACCTCATGCCCATCTCAAGCACCCTCTCCTTCCTGTGAGATGGGAAAAGCAAACTCAAAAGAGACTCAAAGAGCCCAAAGTGATCAAAAAAAAATCCCTAAAGAGACCAAAAGACCCCCACCAACATAAGGAACAGATGGACAGCAGGAAGGATGGAGGGAAACAAAGCAATGGTACCAGGAGAGGAAACCCAGGAGGGCTCTACTGGGAAGATGTGTGAGCGAGCACGGGGAAGATGCTGCTGGGGTGTTGTTTTTTTTTTTTGGATGGTGACAGCCCCCCAACCCCCTCCCTCCCCCCCTGACAGCATGATGCTTCCCTAAGGTGAAGGCTCGGTGTTGTGTGGCTCCCTTTGCCCACTCACCACTTCCATGAGCGATCCAGGGCAGGGCAGAGGGGGCTGGATCAATCTGGCAAAGCAGAAAAATGAATGAAAATTTAATTCCCCGAGGAGAAGGGGGTGGGGGGAGCTGTTATCCCGGCTGAGAGATAAATCAGAGCGTGCCAGAGAGCTGGGAGACCGCGGTGACTCCCAGCAGCGGTGGAATAATTAGGGAAATAGGTTGGAAATGCAGAGCAGCAGAAAAGGCAGGCGATGGGGTAGTGTCCGTCTGTCCGTCTGTCCGCGATTCCGGCTAAACTTCTGCCATAAATCTGCTTTAGGGACCTGCCTTTCTGCGTGTTGGGAGCCACGCTCTGGCTGCATGGGGGATGGGGGGACACGGTGGCCCCCTCCCCAAGGGGCTGCGGAGCGCAGGTGGCCGGGGCCGGCGGGGGTCTGGCGGTGCTTAATGCACTTAATGCGTGATTTAGGGGATGGGACGGGATGGGATGGGAGGGGTTGGGGTTCACCTCCCTGCGGTGGGAGGCAGATTTTGGCGTTCGGTGAACTGCAGGGTTGAGCTCGCTCCTGTAATGAGTGCACACCAGTCTCTCTACACAGAGTTGCGGTATAAAGGGGACGGGGATTTGCTCATAAAAATGAAGCTTCGAGGGGTCAAACCCCAGCATCTCATAGAAAAGCTTCAATTTTTTCCCAAGGAACCATCAGGCTTAATACTTTTCTTAGGTTTTATTAATTTTATCTTGAAACACTTCTTTTCCCAGTTGCTGGCTTGTCTCACCGGCACGTTTCCTGACGAGGCAGGGTTTCAGTTTTTTTTTCAGGTGGGAAAATCCTCTTCCTAACAGTGTGGGAACGAAGGCTTGGGATGGGCACACCTGAGCTGAGGGTGGCCGTGCTCTTGGCCGGGTGAGCATCCTCCCTCACTTGCCAGAAGCTGCCGTGTGCCTCGGGGGCCTCACCCTGCTCTCTAAGCAGAGCGGGACGGCCCGGCACATCGGGGCTGTTTGGCACCGTTGTCACCGAGCTGGTGACACGGTGAGCATCGGGAAGGGCGATGCTCGGGGCACCCCCTCTAACTTCAGCTCCATTTCAGGGAGTTTCCTTGCTCAGCCCTTGGCTGCCAGGCGCCGCCAAGAGTTTCCCTGCGTTGTCCCAGGGTTTTCCCTCAGCAGAGCCTCACGGGGATTCTCATGGAAGCCGCAGCCACTCCGAGCCCTTTCCCCCGTGACTTTGGCATCGCCACCCTTGTGCCGGGTGTCAGGCTGGGCACGCTGCAGCACTGCCGAGTTGGGCTGGCTCTTTGCATGCCCAGGTGTGTCCCTGGGGAGGCAGCACTGGGATGGGCCCCAGGGATGTGTTACAGCGCCCTGTGGAAGCCGGGTGCCAGCCGCTGGGCAATAACTCATCCCGGCGCGGGATGCGCCGGTGTCCGCCGGAGCCGGGGAAGTGTCCCTTGGCTAAGCCTCCACTCCATTCTATTCCATTCCCGCCCCATGCGGGGACTCTCCAACGCCTTCCATGGAGCGGGAGAAGGTCCTTGAGCCCCGAGAGCGGAGCTCGCCCGCGGCCTTGGGCTCGTCCCTCTCTGTCCCCAAAGGCACCGCCGGCCACAGCCCGGCCCCGGCCCCGCCCCTTCCCCGCAGGCCCCGCCCCCGACGGCGCGGAGCGGGCGCTGATTGGCTGCGGGGGGCCCGTCCCGCCCCCGCCCCCCTGCGGGCGGTGACGTCAGGCGCGCTCCCCGCAGGGGAATGAATGGGAGGCGGGCGGCACCGGCGGGCACCGGCACCGGGACACGGCACCGGGACACGGCACCGGGACACGGCACCGGGACACGGCAGCTCCCGCCGCCGGGCTCCGCCGGCCCGGCCCGCCGCTCTCCCGCCCCTCTTCTCTCCCCTCCGCCGCCCCCCGGGCCAATAAAATGATGCAAAGCTCCGCGCTCGCTGCCGAAGGGGCTGTCAAGGGGCTTCCCGAGATCCTCGGTGTGCCGGTGCAACGTAAGGACGCTTTTCTCTTCTCCTTCCTTCGCTCCGTGCCGCAAAGGCGGCCCCGGGCCGGCGGGGCAGCGCCCTGCGGGTGGGCAGGTGCCTCCGCTCCCGGTCGCTCCCGGTTCTGCACTTTCCGTTTATTTTCCCCAGTGTGTGGCACCGTTCACGGACGTGAAAATGCGGAGGGTGCGGGAGGGAGAGCGGTGGCCCGGGGCGGGCGGGCAGCGGAGAGATGCGGGCCCGGCCCCGACGGGGAGGACGGCGCGGCTCCGTCTGTGTGTGAATGGGAGTGTGTTTGAGTGTGAGTATGAGTGTGAGTGTGAGTGTGTGTGTGAGTGTGTGTGTGAGTGTGTGTGTGAGTGTGAGTGTGTGAGTCTACGGCCACGGCACCCCCGCGCATCCCCGGCCCGCTTATATCGTTTATCGCGACAGGCGGCGGAACGGCGGCGATGGGAAGGGACCCGGGGCCGTGGTACCGGGCTGGCGAGCCCGGCTGGGCCCCC